CAGAGTGACACCAACATCTTGATCTTCAAACCAGCTGTTGTCCATCAGTAGAAGCACTTTAAACAGTTTTGTCTCTTCCACGTGTGCTGAAATTAATACCTTTTTCCAATAACAGTTCATTATTTTGTGTCTTTGGAGGCCAGGGCGCTAACCCGGGGCACATGGGACCAGAGCTCCTAAAAGACCTCATAATTGTTGGATAATTGTCCGTGTGTAACGCAGGGATGCTGTCATGCTCACGCTTAATCCTGTACTTTGCTCCTGTCTTGTTAAAACCACCTTTGTGACTGATCTCAAACACTTTGTAAAATGCAGATCCCTAGCCAATATTTTGTGTTGCTGTTTGGCTTTTGCCTTTTCCCCTCCCTGCAGCCAGCAAGAAGAGATGAAGGCAGATTCCCTGCAGCTCTCTGCCTGGCTCCTGTGAGGGTCCCTCACACCACAGCTCTTCCTCCAGGCTCACAAACCTTGGATACATCTTACAACTCGTTATTAAACCTCCGTCTGAAGACACGTGGGGTTTGACACCATGCCACGTACTAGAACATTCACCAGAGAGCAGAAGAGTTTATTGCATGGAGCAGGAATTCCTCCCTGGTGTAGTCACCAGTGCTTTGAACTATGTGGTGAGCTCCTGCTCACGCAGCCCCGGGCTATCTGCAGTTGGAAGAGGCGGTCTCTAAAACCAGGCAAGCCATCTGGTGCAGACCTCCAGTTTCACATTTCAGGGGATGAACTCCTGCAGAGTTCACTTACGGCTGCTTTTGCTAAAACCTCCAACTCTGCAGAATTGGGCGTCTGATAACCCTGAGTTAAACATGTTTTTCCTTCTGCCCCTCCATTGAGAGGCCTTTTTCCTACTGTATGGAGAAGAACAGGATTGCACTCTGAGCTGCAGAAATCACGGTCAAATGTTCATTTTCTATGTCTTCCATTTTTTGGTGCCCACCTTGAAATGCATTGGATCTCACGTTTTGGGGTGCTGAGTCCCTTCCTTATGAGCTTGGTGGAAGGTGCAAATGCCGTAACCAGCAACATACTCAACGTTAGTGCTTTCACTGAAAAGCTTTGCTGAATCTTGTTGCAGCTGTTTAAAGTGTTGTCTGGGCCTATTGGATGCATCTCTTCTACCAACATGATGCAGTAAACAGAAGAGGCTGTTCACCTGTATCTCTGCCACGTTGCGATGCTCAGTTATTCAGGTTGAAGCACTGATGAAGGAGGGTTTGCATGTGGGTGCTGGGCTGCAGTTGTGCTGGCTGAGGCCTGACTCACGTTCCCTTCTGCTACGAGGGGCAGAAAACCCCAGGAGATATATAGAACAGGCAATGGGGAGCAGTAGCTGTTGCAGTAATATTTACCAGCCCTTGTCTGTCAGAATTCTTTAAAGAGACCATTTTGAAGTTGTTCATCTTTGGTTGACTTGCTGGAAATCCTAGTGTGAATGCCAGACTTAGGATTACAGCATTCTTGTTGGCTGACATGTACATAAGCCACAGGTGAAGGTTTTGTGTCTCTCCCAGCCCTGCTCATCTGCAAAGGGAGAAACGTGCGTTTGATGCAGATGTTAGAGTTGGGGCTTCACTGGCTCCATCCTGCTGCTGCTTTTTGCTTCGTTGGTTTTTAACCAACGTGTGCGGAATGCACAATCAGCATCTTGGAGAAGCAGTGGTAGGAAAGAGGAAGCTCACGCAGAATATAAATAGCCAAATTTTAAAATGTACCAGTGTAGCAGTTTGCCTGGCTCTTGGCATGAGCCTGGCTGGAAGCTGTGTACTTCGTGTGTGGTTTGCAAAGGGGGAACTTTGGGGGATATCGCACAAGTCAGCAAGACAAAAAAATGAATGAATCTTACAGTCTTGAATATGGGAAGGAAATGAAATTTGCTTCTACGCACATCAAAATTGGGTGTATCCTCTGCACATGACACGAAATACAGAGTGCAAACCCCTGCACGGTTATGGCAATACTTTCCACTGGAGTTGCACAGCAGCTGCCAGTGATTCATGGGTTGATCCTGGGACATTTTGTTCTCCCATACAATTTGATTTCTTTACTAATTTAATTGCATCTCAACAAGCATCTAATTTTTCTTGATATTTGGGTCTGGGGTTTACAACTTCCCAGCCAAATCTCTTTTCTGAGTTAGACTGTCCAGGGATCTGGTCCTGCTGGACCCAGAGCCTTCCTCCAGCCCAAAGTCAGCATAACTGGAAGATATGCAGGGTAGGGCTGATCTGCATGTTGGGTGGTAAAGACTGGGAGAGGGTACAGGAGAGCTGATGTGAAGCACCATTGGTAGTAATCCCCTTCTCTATCACTGCCCCTTGGACAGTGGGCTTGCATGCCCAAGAGGAATCTACTGCTGTTGCTTCTGGAGGCTGGTACGTAGCTGTGGGCACCAGAGTCTGATGGTCTCTGGACAAATTGGGAAGAGTTCCCACAGCTTTTTTTTCTTTTTGTTGGAAACAGCATCCAGGTGGAAAAAGAAGAACCTGGCTGACTTGGGATCGAGTTAGGTAGCATCACTGTAGGCGGCTGATCTAGAACAGCTTTAGCAGTGCTGGCAGCTCTCTCCTGAGGTCATGCCAATCCCCTCAATTCCCAGCTAAGGCATCTCTGCTTGTGGGATCAAGGGTGACTCACCTGGTGTAGGAGCGCCTTGTTCCTGTGAGCTTTTGGTGGAGAGAGGGAGAGGTGATGGGGGAGAAGCCCAGCTCTCTTGGCTGCCAGTGCCTTTAGCCAGGTACCAAGCTCACCTTCCCCTCGCTGACATGTTTAAATGGCTTTGTCTTCCCCACATTGGAGCTGATGTCATGGGCAGCTGCTCTGGTGGAGCTCCCAGCAGGGATGTGACATGGGGCTGCAGAGGAGTGGGGAGCCGGGCTGGGCTCAGGGGTTTGTTCATGCCCCTGTCAGTGTTCAGGCTGTGTGATGCCAACCGTCAGGGCTCAGGGCTCCCAGCCTGCCTGGCCAAGCTAAGCTGGGCTCAGATCCGCACTACCCCCCGCAGCCAGCACTGTCAGCCAGGGGATTTATCGAGGCAGGAGGGAGATGTATTTTCATGTCACACTGTCTAGGAAGGCGCAGGGCACACTGGGCTGGTGGGTGAGTGCCTTTTCCGTTCTTGAAATTCAGACCTGTTTATACTTGGACATAAATTTATGCTATAATTTATCCCAGAGCACAGAACAATAGAGGGTCTGACCCACGTGTCCGGGAGGATGTCTGTCTGTCTGCTGCCTTGTGCGGGAGCTGTCAGGGTTGGTCTGAAAGCCAGTGAATCCTGGCAAAGACTTCTGATGTTCACAGCAGAGCTGAAGTTAGGAGCCTCACAATGCCTCAAGCTTCAGCAAACCAAAACTCTCCATAGTCTGGCATGAAGTGAGAAGAGCAGGTTCA